GTACTGGCCTGGCATGGCACGAGACATAGAGACAATGGTGGAGAACTGCGTGCAGTGCCAGCAGCTACAGCCTAAACACCAGGCAGAGCCACTTGTCCCACATCAGGTTCCAGACCTGCCATGGATGAAAGTCGGAGCTGACATCTTCGAGCTGAGTGGTCAGTCGTATCTTCTGTTAGTCGATTACCTGACCAAATATCCTGAGGTGCTCAACATACCTGATAAAACGGCTTACACGGTTATTCAGAAAATGAAGTCGGTTTTCTTTCAGAATCATGTCCCATTCGCCAGCTATGAAATGAAGTCATTTGCGGATTCCTGGGAATCCAAACTCTCACATTCTAGCCCAGGTTTTCAAATGGAATGGCTGAGCGGGCCATAAAGACTGTGAGACATACGCTGAAGAAAGCCATGCACAAATCCACATCTGGTGTTGTTGTCATTGAGGAACACACCGGTGACAGGACTGAACATCTTGCCTGCACAAATGTTGATGGGAAGAATCCTGTGGAGCACACTTCCATGTTCCAGTGCCGTGCTGAAACAGTCAACCCCACATCACATCCAGGACAAATACAGGACCTGCAGTCACGTCAAAAGCAACACTACGACCAGCATGCAAAGTCACTGCCGGCGTTGTCCCCAGGTGACACCTTACACATGCAGACACAGTGCGGTTGGGAGCCTACAGTTGTCATCAGGCAGAGAGATGAACCATGCTCCTACACAGTGCAGACACTGGCAGGAAGGATGCTCAGTAGGAACAGGTGACATCTGAGGAAAATACACCCGAGTCTCTTCAGAGACACTCGCTTTGAGGAACATTTGGACTCAGAGTTACAAGCTTCTCAGACATGTGAGTCAGATGATACACCATCGCAAGACCCGCCACCACAAGACCCTCCCACTGTGAGTATGGACAGTAGACCTACATGCTACACCAGAGGTGGTAGAGCGGTCAGACGCCCTGCCAGGTATAGAGACTGATCTCATGGACAATTCATGTTGTTGTTCAACAAGTGAGCTTTGAAGGTTTAAAAAAACAAAAAAGCAAAAAAAAGGCACAAGAAATAGCACACTTGCAGTTGAAAGGAAGGGGGTGATGGAGTGCTTAACTTGAAATGTTTTATGTATGTCCAAAATGTTTACATGCTTCATACAACAGACTGCAGAACAAAAAGTGGTTTGGAATGATTCATGGGAAGCCATTGGTTCATTGAAAACATGCTTTATTAATTATTGAAATATAGCAGCAGCAGACTTAAAAAAGAGATTTATGGCAGGATGTGTATAATAAAACTCATGGAGCTAGTCCGCAATTACCGAGATTGTTATGATGTCTCCTCGAGGTTTGCTATGTTTGGTTTATTTACGTTGTGCAAATTCGGAGGTTGTCAAGGAAGATGATCCGGTGTGGGTGAGGAACGATCCGGCCCTGGTCTGCCCCCTTGTGGACTCACGTTTAATCCTTCATTTACTCGCAAAGTATGCAGGCAAGTATGTGAACAATGCTGCCTGTCTACGCCTACGCATTGTTAAAAAGCAAGTCGGGGGCTATAGGTTGTTTTAACTCCTATCTGTCTTTACTCCTATGAGCTTATCCTACAATAGCTCCACTGCCAGTGGCATTTTTCCATGCCTCTTAAAACGGCAATTTTGAACTCCGTTTCCTGGCTGTACCTATGTTTTGGAAATCACATGACCTACATCATCTGTAACCGTCATTTGATGCGTTTGAGATGTGCGAACTTTGCGCAGCCACAGAAAACCAACTGCGGCCTCCCGACTAGCCACCTGCAGCCGCCTTGCTCCCGCAAGTTTTTAATGTCATGTGACATAGTGACGTTTTGCAGCACCGGAGAAAGGCGGACATAATTTCTAACCAGCATGCCTTATGTTAAGTGTAGCATGCATCACATTAAGTCAGTGCTGCGCAGCGCCGCATGAAGTCAAATGCACCTTTTATCATGTGTCTACGTTGTACGGGTGCTAGAGGCTGTGCTTATGACCCACATTAGCCCAAAGCTGCTAGCTGGAAGTGATTTTCAACAAAATCCTAAGCCAAATGCTAGTACTTCTGTTTCTACTTCTACAGCTGGAAATATAACAACAGAATTAGAGCAGATCCAGCAGGTCCAACAATGTCATCAGTTATTGTAGAAATCTGTGTCATAAGACGTTATCACATTTTCTCCACAACCTTTACACCTCAGAGTGGAAAAACTGTGGAGAATTTTCTTATGTTTCTATTCATAACAGATTCAGAGCCTCTGGTCCTCCTCCACTGAGAGGATGTTTACACATCACTCTCTGTGTGTGTGTGTGTGTGTGTGTGTGTGTGTGTCATCCGGGTTGAGCAGAGTCATGCATTTTTCCATTACCCTCATCAAATCAATGTTAAACACTCTTCCTCTATCTACTGTCCCTGAACAACCATAGTGTGTGTGTGTGTGTGTGTGTGTGTGTGTGTGTGTTACCAAAATGCCTGATCAATAAGCAGATAGGCTATTTGATCAGTAAAAACTGGGACAACCAGTCTGCCTTATGTGGTTTCCAGATAAACTGCTTCTGATTCAAATCAGTTTTTTATTTCACAGCAGCTCAACTTAATTTCTGTTTACTTCTTCTACTTCTAAAAATAAAGAATTTTATAACTTTGGTCTCTTTTCCTGCGCCATCAACAGGGTGACATTTGTAGCTTTGAGTGAAATGCCTCAACAATTGGATGGATTACCATGAAATTTGATACAGACATTCATGTCCCCCTCAGGATGAGTGTAATAACTTCCATCTAGTGCCATTATCAGTATCAATACTTTGATATATGAGTTAATACTTGCAAAACTAATGACATTCCTGTCAGACTCAGCTCTACTATGTGTCTATTTCCAGTTAGCAAATATTAGGATGCAAACATGCTTAACTAAGACAGTGATCATTACCTGTTTAACATCAGCATGTTAGCATGCTGTTAGCATTTAGCACAGCTTCACAGAGCCGCTAGCATGGCTGTAGACTTTTAGACTGTATTCAGAATTGCACACTAACATACTATTCATAATAAAAGCCTTTGCACTCCAAAACTGTATTATTGTGTGTGTTATGTTTTTCGTTACAGACAGAAACCTTGCACACTGGATGTGATGCATTTCATTAATCTATTTGCTTAAAAAGTCATGATACAAGATAAAATAAGAGTCGTCAGCAGTGAGGATGATTTTGTGGCTTGGTGCTGTCTCTCCGTCTCCTGCTCCCTCTCTGTCTGTGTTGCTGTCCTCATCCTCTATTTCACCCTCCTCCTTGTCATCATCATCCACCTGAATATTATCATCAGACCTGTTGAAAGCAGCTTTCTGAGTTGTGAAATGAAAATCAAACCGGTTCTGAAAATTTTAATGATGGACGAAATTTTTGGAGTCAGTGTCTGATTGACACAACGTGAGTTTGTATTTATTTTCACGTGAGTACTGTATGTTGTGTGTTCTGTGTGTACTAGATAAGCAAAAATCTCTGAGTATGCGCTGTGAGCTAACTGAATACTAAACCGCCCCAAATTTGATACAGTCACATGACTGTCCTGCTTGCTTGAGTACTTCAGTGCAAACAGTCTGCAGTAAATACTGACTGAGTATGTAGTAGGCAGTATGTTGACATGCTATTTCGAATACAGTCTTGATCAAATGTAGCTTCCAGACAAAAAACATTCTTACATTTGGCCAATAACACAGCCAATCAGGATTTGTACGGTTCCCATCAGACAGGGACTGTATGCAGCCTGAGAGGCTAAACTCGGGGCATAAAAGGAAAATTAAAAGACACTGGCCCATCCATCAGCCAAACGCTCTGCCTGTTTTCTGTCAACCCCACAGAGGTGTCATCAGGCAACCCTGTCGTCATGACGACGGCTCAGTAAACCGCCTCTGCTTCAACTGTGGCTAACGGTAACCATAGGTCACCACAGCAACAGTAAACATCCAGGAGGCCCGGGGTTGATGTGGCGATCTGAGAGGGTGTTTATGTGAAGTGGAACATAGAGGTTTTCTCCCTGCAGCTCCTACAGGAAAGAGATTATAACCAGAGAAATAAAAAAAATGTGAAGATCAAATAATAATTAAAAAAAATTAAGTAATCTTAATCTAATAAAAACTATCTGATAAAAACAAAAGGATATATAAGACAAAATGAAGGCAATACTTAAAAATGCATTTACATGATCAAAAATAAATAAGATAAAGAACAATTTACTGTTCACGAAGCCCTGCCCCCCTTAGTTACTGTTACTACACCTGTCAAGCTTTTCATTCTCACACTGCACATGTCCAATTTACAATAAAAGGGTAAACAATCAAAATTCAAAAGTAATTTGACAAATGATGGACAGAAGTTAAGAAAAGCTGCTTCCATTTTCTAGCTAACAACTGTTAATTTTACTGACAGTAACAGGCAGTTAGCCTTAACTCTGCTCTAAACCCCATCTTAAACAGGTCTTTTTGTAATGTAACCTGTCTCCTGACAAAACAATGTAGTTATCCAAAAATATGCTACTTTTGGAAGTAACTTTAAGCGACTTCTATATGTAGTAAGCTAGTTACCTGTTAATGTGTCCCTGACAAACATAACAATTGTCACTTTGGATAAAAGTGTCAGCTAAATGAATAAATGTAATGTAAAGTTAGTAGCTTACGTTAGAGCAGATATACACACAGTTTAATCCATTATAGTTTTGAAGGGAACCAGCACATCACTAATCCATTACTTGTGTTTTTGGGTGGAACAAGCTAAAAAAAGACCCATGTGTCCAAACTCTTTGATTTTTACTACAGCCCCGTGAACACCACTATAACATATTGAGAAATCCAAAGACTGAAAGACCTGTTGTGCCTAGTGATGGTTGCTAAACTATGCGTGGACAATCGCTATTTTGAGTAGGGGTTTTCTGAGCGGTCGGTTGGGACTGACTTTTGAATCATCTTCACGTAAATGATAAAAACAAACAATTAAAAAAAAAAAATTTTTATTGAGGAATGTTCCTTTAAGACTTTATTCTGCACAGTGTTGAACTGAAAACAGTAGAAACCGCAGAAGAACAGCACAGTGGACTCAGTGGAAACTACAGGACATCCTGACTGGTCACCTGTTCATACACAGACACACACACACACACACACACACTGAACACTCATCCAACCTTTAACCCGACAGTGATGATCCTTTACAGTCAGTCTGAAGTTTTAAATTTAGGTCATCCAGAGTAAAAGTCACAAATATTAGAAGACCAAATGGTCAAACAGGACAATGAGTTGCTCACAGTGATCACAGCGACTTACAGTATGTAACTGTCCACTGATTCAGTTTGCTGCTGACTTGCTAAGAATGAAAATCACTGCAGACACCATCGTCCACGGTATCACAACCAAAGGGAACTTCAACGAGTCAAAGAAAGTCCAGCCTGATGCTCCTGGTAGGCACATGTCCTCAGAGGACAGCCAGGTCGTGGCAGCTCTTGGACCGCACTTTGACTGCCATGCGCTGGTTGTTGCGTGCTACCAGCCGGTCCAGCAAGCGCCGAGCCTTCTGGGTAAGGCTCTCTTTGCGTTTGTAGATTGAGCGTCGGCGCTGGACGGCCTCGCTGCCGTCCCGACGGAGGCGGATCTGTCGGACCACGCCTTCGAACAGCTCGGCCACATTGTGCTGCAGAGGTGCCGACGTCTCAATGAACTTACAGTCAAACACCACAGCACAGGCTCGGCCCTCTGTGAAAAAAAGACATACAAAAAGTGAATACATTATTATAATAGCATCAGTCAGTCGTTACCTGTAATTCATTTGTTGTATATTGGTATGTGTATGTATGTATCCCCGGTGACCTGTGACCCCAACCTTCCACAGCAACTTCTCTGGATCGGACCAGGTCACTCTTGTTGCCCACAAGGATGATGGGAATGTTTTCGGCCTGGCGGATGCGTCGCAGTGTGATACGGAGCTCAGAGGCAGAGTCAAAGCTGGAGCGGTCGGTGACGGAGTAGACGATGACATAAGCACTCCCGACCTTCAGATATTCATCCTGTGAGAAATCGTCCTCCCCCTCCTGAAAGGAAGGGAGACATGGAACTGAATTCAGCAGTCAGAAAAACACTGTGAAGTCACAGCATTATGAACGGTGATGCCAACAAAAACAAATAAACTATAAATCTTTAAACTGAACTGATTTTTGGAGTCAGCAAAGTGATTTGTGATTTCCATCTCTCAACCTCAGAGGTCAACCAAAAGGTTCGAACTGTCATATACTGAAAGTATTTCCCTAGTGTCCCTTAAACTGCTGCTGTTCCACAATAAAAGTCTCTCTAGAAGGCATTTATTGTGAAGGAGCAAGTTTACCTTAATCACACAGCAACCGTGCAAGCTCATTAATAGTGATCCACATAAATTTTATTGTCAGTGGTCGGCATGTGCATTGCCTGACACTCACTATTTTTAAATAATTTAACTTGTATGTAAAGAAAGAGCATAAACTTATAGGTTTTGTAACAGTATTTTGTAAAATGTGCCTTTTCATAAGGTTTTTCCAATTGAAAATACCAACAAAAGTTCTCCTTCTAAATGGCATTTTTGTGATGTCAATATTTATAACACGAATCATATGTAGTAAGTAGGAGGTGCTTTTGTAGCATTGATCTATTATCTGAAACATAACCTGTCCCTGAGCAGTTTAGCCTTTCAGCATAAGTTACCATGGTGAAGTACCCCAGTAAGAAGTGAACCACCATCGTAGGACTGAAAACCCAGGGTTAATCCTGAAGTTACCTTGCTAACCTCAAATCCTGCTTCAAAGTAGTGGCCCAGGTCCTGTTGCAGGATGCCGTGTACCCATAATCCTTTGCTCGAAAGTGACATCTAATGCGCCACAACTGTACTTCATCAACACATACAAACAATGTACCAGTTTATCGTTCTCCCAGGTATCCATGACGATTAGTGTGGTTTCTTCTCCATCTACTGTCAGTGTCCGCTCATATGTGTCCTCTGAGACAAACAATAAACAACAAGAGTAACAATGTGCAGTCACGCTAGCAGCCCTGTGAGGCTGTACAGTGGTGCTTTGAGCTAAACGCTAAAGTCAGCATGCTAACATGCTCACAATAACAATGTTAGCATGCTGATGTTTAGCAGGAAAAATGTTTGCAATTAGTTCATCATCCAGTTTAGCATGTGATAATGCTGGGAATGAAACCAACATATTGATACGTTTAAAACCTGATAATAGTGCTACATGAAAAGTCATGGGAGTTAATATAGTTATAAATTTCATGGCACTTCATGGTAATCTGTCCCACAGTTGTTGAGAGATTTCAGTCTGGACCAAAGTAGTGGACCGATATCACCAGAGACATGACGTGAGCAACAACCTGGCAAACAAGATTGACAAGTATTAATAAGTTGAATTAACAACCGCAACAAGAACAATAAATACATGTAAAACTAAAGCAGAGTGTAACAAGACACAGAGCTCAGTCAGCCTTCAAACTAACAGCAGACAGGCTCTGCCCACCATGTCAGACTTTCATGGATCAATACAGGTTGTCAATTATGGCCTTAGGCCAATGGCACATGACACAGGAGCGGATCGATGATGTCAGGTCAGTCAGGCTTGTGATGTCAGAAAGTCAGAAACTGAGCACTGATCTCCTGAGGACTGAGCTGGAGTATGAAAGCTACAACACAACAATAAAACATAGAAGACTGATGGTGTACTCCAGTTACTCAGTCTGTCAGAAGAACAGAAGGTCAAAGGTCAAGGTGGATATTGTTATCTTTGGACAGAGCCAGACTAGCTGCTTCCCCTCATTTCCAGTCTTTATGCTAAGATAAGCTAAGTTGCCGGCCTATGTCAGTAGCTTCATATTTTCTGTACTCGAGAGAGTGGTTTTAATCTTCTCATCTAACTCTTGGCAAGAAAGCAAGTAAGTGCATTTCCCGAAGTGCCACACTTGTCTTTAATACATCCTATCAGGTTGCTCCCCTGCTAGCTTGACCAGCAACTAAACAAAATCTCCTTTAGCCAAGAAACCCTATAGACCACCAAGAAACATTTGTAAAGAAGAAGATACATAGTTTAACATCAAACTTATATTGAAGCATAGTCATGAAAAGAAGACAAGATTGACTCGTTTATAGCTGTTCTCTTCCAATGCGATATTAATTATTTCCTCTGCATGTTTGCATCATTTCCTATCCATGCATGATATCTGAATAATCCCTGCCAGAAATGATGGAAACCAGTGTTATGAGGAACAAATGCAGAATGCAAATATATCAAACAGCTGCTACAACAAAGAGCTGCTGCTAAAAGGATCAACAAGAAAACATACCAAATATTGTCTTTGTTTAAAGGGGACATATGTTTTTTGGCTTTTCCCTTTCCTTTATTGAGTTATATATCTTTTTTGTGCATGTAATGTTTGCAAAGTGAAAAAGCCCAAAGTCCACCCCAAAGGGAGTTCCCATCTCCCACAGAAAACACTGCTCCTGAACTACTTGAAAACTGCTCGATTGTAGTCCAGCCTTTACTTCCAAACTTACCTGCGTCACTATGTAACAGGTGTCATTATGCTCGACTAGCGGCTAGTGTGGCAAGGCCTTGAACTAAATATGAAATTTAAATAACGTTAGATACCCTCCGGGCAGTTAATGGACATAAAGTTGTTACTGTGACGTAGAGACAGTGTACAGTTATAACATTATGTATGATAGATAAATTTGATACAAATAAATAACTTTCCACTCTAAAATGTCTTGATCCAGTCTAGGTTGCGAAGCTGCTCCAGGCTCGGGCTCGAACATGTATGGCTGAACTGAAGCTGTGGTTAACGGCTGAAGAGGCTTTGTCAGGACCCACCCTACTCTCCTTCTGTGTGTTCAGAACAGGAGGAAATCTGAGGTTTTGGCTCACAATGATTTCTTTTAAATACTTTTACCTCATTATTTGAAGCTTTGGCCATGTTTAACATGAACATACAACATTGTAGATAAGTCATAAAATATGGAAAAGCATAAAAGGTCTCCTTTAACAGTTACAGATAACTAGATACACTGATCAGACAATGAAACGTAACAGCCCACCTCCAGGTTGTTCATCTTTCTCTGTGATCCCGGCAAAGATTCCTGCAAGGCTGGTCTTTCCTACGCCATGATCGCCTAGCAACACTACTCTGTAAACACAATCCAAGTCGCTCTGTGAATCGTCCTCCGAGTCTGAACTCCACTGGGCGCGATAGTGGAGGGACTTGTCTCCAGGGTGGTAGGACGCCGACTTTCCCAAAGGAGGATGACTGCGCTGGGGACAGGGTTGCTCAGGGTCGGGCTGGATACTGCCGGGGAACCGGTGGTCCCGAGTCCAGGATGGGTGCTGGTAGAAGTGGGCTGGAGGAATCGGGGTGCTGCCTCGCCGCTGCAGGGGCGACTTCTCTCTCTGGGTGTTGAGGGTCATGTTGCTAAGGTAAAGGTGGAGGATTCAGGTTTAAAATAAAATCTGGTTCACTATGGTCTTTAAGATTCTTAAAAGGTCTTTTGATTGACATTCAAAATGACCAAAGCACTTTGCTGTGACATAGCGAGCAAGTTGAATAGCTGAAACATAATGCTGCTGTTTTAGTTTTCTCTCCATATTCTAAGACAGAGGTCACCAACCGTTTACAAGCAAAGATCACTTCTGCGGATCTGCAGCAGTTTAACTTCTGACCTTGCTGCAGTGTTATAGAAGTGTACTCCAGGCTGTGTCAGTGTGAGCTCTCCTGATTTTCTTCCTAGTTTAAGGGTCAAAACTTGACCCTAAATATGTTGACATAAAACACTTCCAAAAAGAAGTTATGTTGGCGACAATTTCATTGTGAAGAAGACTAAATTCTGATCTTACAGGAACATGAGTATGAAATCTCAAGCCTGGCAACACAACCACAGGGGAGTACCAGTATAGAAAATGTATTATATTTCACAAATTTGAGTCTGTAGCTGCTTGTAGGATTATGTGCTGCTCTTCATTCTACTCACCTCGCACAAACTATGCTCTCTTGCATGTTTTTTTTTTGTGAAACTGTTTTTGTTTTGTTTTGTTTTTATTATAGTTGATTTCCATTCTGTCTTAACATCTTGATAGGGGTATGTGGTCGGGAGCAGAGAGAACTACTTCAGGGGCGTGGGGTACACCTCAACCAGAAATACGGTATGTTCACTGGTACCGGCTCAGATTACTAACTATTCAATAACTAGCTAGCTGATGAAGGACTAATTGACAGAGATACCAGCATGCTGTGGCCAGGTATGTTTGAATTCCACTACAAATGAATTCCACTATAACCTGATAAAAACAGGGTACTACACAAAATGGTTGCAACGTAGAGTTAAGATAAACCTTAAAATGTAAACACTTCTGAGCAGGTTAATGTCATTCCTTATTACGAGTTGTCATGAAAAGAGTTGATGGGAGAGACTTATGATAGAAAAGCCAGAGGCTGTTTATCCCGATATTTACATTGGGAGCACATTTCCTGTGACAGACTACACCCCTGTACATTTAGTATGATACTGAGCATGCTTAATATTGTGTTGTAAAGTTACTGTTACTTGGATTAGACAAGGTAACAGTGTGATTTTATGCTAGTTCACACATTATTTTTAAATAAAAAAGGTCTGTTAGCTCATTTACAATGAACAATATATACTGGGACGAGCAGTTGAAATTACTGTAGGTTTTGTGTAATTTACTAACTCAAAAAGTGATATATACATGTAATTTGGAACACGCCTTGCTCCATTCCCAGGTCAAATCCTGGTTACTAGAAGACCTCTAGAATGCATAAGACAGCAAAGACACACGAACAAACTTCTACAATAAATAATTCAAGTATTTAAAGGTGCCAAGTATAACAGTCAGTGATATTGAGGGCGAGTCTGACCAGGTCAGAGCTCCTATTAGTGAACAAGTTACTGTAACTTATTTCGGGTGAACAGAAAGAACTTTTTAAAATCCTGCAAAATTACTGTTCATCACCAGTAATTATATATAAAATTTCTGTTTATTCACCCACAACATACCTACAAGCAGTCAGAAGGTCAAAAGTCAAATGCCACAGGTCTCTCATGTAAAATGTCAAATGACTGCTACTTAGCTAGTTGACAGGAGTTAACAAACTACATCTGGTGAAGATCAACCAGAACCTCTTTACAAACAAAGCAGAAGAAATGTATGTTTTCACATTTCCAAAGTACACATGTCTCTTTCTATAACTTTAACAAATGTAAAATTTGTTTCACATGTGATATTAAATGTGAAATGTCTGTTTTCGAATGTTAAATAATAATGTGTTAAAACTAAATATTTTTGTAAGCGACAGCTGAAAAACTCAATATGCAAAAATAACATGTAATAGATAGAGTAACTTACCGGACACCCCATGAACAGTCTGGTTTCCGTCCAACCACAGTAAACAGCAGAAGTGAACTGAACCCTGTCTCTCTTTCTTTGTCTGTGTAACAGTACCCCGGTGCCACAGTAACCCGCCTGGGAAAAAAAGTTCCACAACAGCGTTAAAAATTCAGCAGTGGAATCACAGAGTTATCTGCCTCCCTCTGTGTGTGTGTGTCAGAGCGACAGTAGAGGAGAGACAGATAACTGAGGAGGGAGTGTGTGTGTGTGTGTGTGTTATTTTATCAGCTTGGAGGGTGAGCTGGCTTAGGAAACATTTTACCACTTCCTGTTTCACCCAAAAGACACAATTTGGCTTCATGAAACAGTTCAGTCAGACATGTTTACATATAAAACATTACATGATAAAACATTTTTTCTGGGGCTGAAGTCAGATTAAGGATGAGCTTTGTAGTCATCAGCATAAACCCCCAAAATACAGACAACTCAATAGACTGGATAAAAGCTTTAAAGGGGCCATGTGTAGTTGTCAGTAGCCTCTAGTGGCATGTGCTACCGCTCGAACTCATGACTGAGCACTCTACAGTGGCCAAAACAGAAAAATAATCATCACACACTATGCTGGAAACTGTTGCTGCATTGACTGCATTTAGCCGACAATATACGTCAACGTTGTGTATCTTTCACCAGAGAGGCTGAGCAATGTAAGAATGGCTAAAATAATTTATTAGATAACAAAAACAGTTAATGAGCTAGCACACTTTAGTATAACAGTTAGGCCGTAGTAAGTAATGCTACTCTAGTGGATGGGTCTTCCACTGCGTTCTTGTCCTATGCCATTATTTTATATTATGTGGGTCACGTAAGTTACAGCGACTGAGACAGGCAAGGGAGCTGTGCGCTTTGTACCGTTACATAATTTCTTGCAGGCTAAAATCAATACTTTGACATAATACTGGTACACAGGATAGTAATATGCAGGGTGCGATTTGTGTAAGCAACACTCCAGACTGGTGATTACCTATAGACAGAGAGAAGCAGCTGGATCTGAGCGAAAGTGGCGCATTTTCTAATTAATTTAACCCTCACAAAACTATGGATAGATCCAAACCGTGTGTTTTGTGACAAGTTGCATCACTAATGAAGTAGCATTGATCACTCTGAGGGAGGGATACATTTTTTCCCCACCAGGGATAAAATTTATTCAGCAGAGGCAGGGATATAGAAACCAGCAAATATGCAAATATGGTCCCATTTACAGTAAAATGGACAATGAACTAGGCATGCTTTAGGGAGTGGCTACCTTGACATTGACAAGTCGCTATCACGGTGACCTGTCAATCTGGATAGAGGCAAATCGTATCCACTGCACTGTGTACATTTAACTAGCCGTAAACTTGTCTTTGGGTGCTGTCTGTGTTTTTGTCTAAGAACTTTGAGTTATGAATTACTGAATTATGGTAGGAACTTGCTAACCAAACTAGCTAGCTCCACCCTCTTATCCAAACGGTGATGTCCATCGCCATCTTGTCCATTGCCATCTTGTTTTTTTCAACCAGAAGTGACCACTTCTGGTTAAAAACCCCCAACATGGTCTTCAAAGCGTCTGAGTCAGACAGGGACTCAGAGTTCATGGTTGGAGTCATGAGGTCACCCTCACACACCCTTAAGTGACACCTCTAGTCCAGTTTAGTTAATTGGCCCTCATTATTAATACAAAGTATAAATGGGGCAGCTTTAACCTGTGTGGCTAAAAGGACACGACCATCTATGTGTACAAGCTAACAAGCAGTGTACTAACTAGTTAAATGAAGCAGGGCCAGTTAACTGATGTCTAAATCTTCTCCCTGAATGTGTTATAGTAACATGTGTGATATAGTACAATAAGTTAACATTATCTCACACTTTAACATCTATTCTTATTACCATACCTGTAATATACGCCGCACTATAACACCTAATGAGGTATGTTGATATTTATACCTAATGGCATTTCCTTGTTTTCATTTAATGTCTCTGGCACTGTCAGAATGTTGTTTTTATATCTCTGAATGACCTGATTGGAGAGAATAACAAGCTCTCTTGAATCTGTTAGAGAAACATCCATAAATCATCAACAAAAAACATTGTTATAAACTATAATATTCCTTTATACAATTTATTTTACAGCAATGTATATACATACAAAGTATCTCAAAATTATAAGATGTTATAAGACCAAATTGTGAGTCTGTCAGTCCAGATTTTGTATCTTAAAATGTGGATTTACCATACCTTTTTTCATTTTCTATCATTCCTAACTTTTAATACTTTTTTCCTGGCCGACATGAGCTGACATGGAAAATTAGATTAAGGAGAAATACACATCACTTCCTCTTTGTCAGTGAGAGTGCTCTTACTGATACTCAACACATCACAGATGTTTAGATTTTATCCACCCCCTCAGTTTAAAAGTTAAAAATTTAAGAGGAGGAGTTTTCTCCCAGATCGCCATCACCTCACCCAATCCAGTGAGGTTAAAATAAAGTTCCTTCCCATTAAAAGCACAGGAACCAATCACTGATCACCAACCCTCTTTATTAGTCCACCAGCAGCTCCATCACTCCATCCGCAGGCAGACTGATTTTACTGACAGGCAGTGAGGATCAGCTGAGTTCAGAAGTTGTTGCTTTTTAAATTTTTAACCACTGCAACATGTGGAGAAATCCACAAAGTGACAGACCTGCTGTGCAGACTGATGGATAGTAATGATTGGGGAAGGGATTTAGCAAACAAGTGATGTGTAATGTCTTTCTCCCTGCAGTCTCAGACTTTGAAAACCCCTGTCCTAGTACAATAAGTTTACATGATTTTGCATGTAAACATGTAGCCTATTCTTATTCAATTCAATTCAATTCAAATTAGCTTTATTGGCATGAATGTATAACAACAATATTGCCAAAGCATCATACAAATTACATAAGAACAATCAACCCCATACATTTAATTAAAAAAGTAATTAAAGCGTAAAGTAATTAAAGCGTATGTGTGTGTGTGAAAAAATAACAATATATTAAAAATTTTAATAAAATAAATAAATAAAACAGTAAGCGTGTGTGTGTGTGTTAAAAACAATAAAACTATATTAAAAATTAAAATAAACAGTACCGTGTGTGTGTTAGTATATTAAACATTAAAATAAAAAAGATAGAATAGATAATACCGTAAACGTGTATGTGTGTTTATTAATAGACAAAACCCCCCAAAAATTAATTGATAAAAAAAAAAAAATAAATAAGTAAAAAGAAATCAGTATCAAATGTAAAAACAAAACAATTACTGAAATATCAAACAATCAAAATAATAATAATTTGAAAATTTGTGCAATTATTTATCAGTCTGAGTTTCCACTGATTGTCCTCACTTCATGGCATGAGGAGACATATTTTGCAGCAATTATTTCACATTTAGGCATTTATCCCAGTAATACAGTGTAATACAGTATGTTGATATTTAAACCTAATGGCCTTTCAGTTGTTTTCATTTAATTGCTTTCTCTCAGTCTCTCTTAAATGTTATATTGTAAATTGCATTTGATATCTACAATTATTTTATTCAGTATATTTTGGTACTCATATTTTATCTTTTATAGTACTTTTATATTTCTATTTATTAAATCTGAATGACTTGTTCCTACAATAATTTGTAAATGTGTGGCTGCTTTGTGTTTATTATGTATGCAGACATGTGGTTACCTACACCTCTAGTCTAGTTTCATTATTAATATATTAAGAATGATTTCCTAAACTATTCTGTTAAGCAGACAGCTCAAGTGTTATTATTTGTTACAGAAGTATGTGGAACTAGTAGACCTACTGTATTAGTTGTTGTACTAACTAGTAGTAGTTAGATGTGGCATATTGACTCATGCTGCCCCCACATGGTAACTGGAGGAAATGTAACACTGCTGCAGTGAATATAGAGCTTTAGCATTTAATGTCAGTGGCATATAATAATCAATAAAAATAGTAAATTAAACTGACAAAGTGATCCAAGTGTCAAACTACAGACCTGGAAGCTTAAATACATTTTCAGGTCTTATAACACAACAACTGAAAGAAGACAACAACTAAATATTTTTGTAATCACAAAGGGAAAAAAGTAGCAATCATTTTTGGTTCATTTTGCTACTACACATGTGTATATGTTTATATGTTACATAGGTTGTTTTAAATTTTACTCTCTACATGCTTTATTAAGCTTTACTTTTGTTTCTCTCAGGCTTTCTATGCAACCATGCACTAGATGTTTTATCTGTTTTTACACTGCCCATGTACATGGTATTTCATTTCAGCTGTGTTGTTTATACTTTGAAAGACATAAACTTGAACTTGAAAAGAGGACAATATTTTAAGTTATCATCAGTTGACAAATACAGAAAGAGATTACTTTTCATCTGGAAGTCAAACTCTTCAGTTACAGATGTGGACATATATATAATATGGTAAGTGAAATGAATGAAATTAGAATCAGTGAATGTCTGCATGACTTCAGAATAAGATGAAATAAAATTCAACATGACTAATGAACGAATCGGTTTTAAAAACCACCATGATATAATCAAATTCGACACAATACTTTGGTGGCAGACTCATTTATAACTGTAAATCCAGAAGTCAGTCAGTGTGTATTGAAATGTTATTTATATTCAATAAATTAAAAGCCCTTTATCTTGGAATTACAGTAGTATGTTATTTTATTTCTATCTAAAGTTTTGACTTATCATGTTGCTCCTCCTTCAGGTAACTGCAGGAGGCATTGTGAGAGGAGTCGTCGTCGGTTTGATCCTGATTGGCGGGAGGAGGAGAAGGAGGGGCTGGATTGGAAGACATCAGTATAAAATTAATTCTTAGATATAATAAGTATAAGGTTTTAGAAATATAAGACAAATTAAGAATGACATAAATATAGGGAATTATAATAATAACAACAAGAAAAAAAACATAGGAAGTAAAAGCAGTATTAAAGTAGGTCTAAGTAACATTTCAAATAAAATCCATACATACATATACAAAATACTTTTTTGAGTTACGTAAATAGGTATGTGAGATTTGACCCATACAGACAATTATAAGGGCTTTCCCCCTTTACCTGAAGGAGGAGTTGCAACAGTGATCCATTTCCACAGTTTGTTCTGAAGAGTGTTCACAGCTGAAGGAGGGAAACAAATCAGGCTTTGGTCAAAGTGACGGAAGGTTCTATCTCAGTAATGTCTGTTGTTGATCTCTGAGAATGACTTTAAATTCAGGAGGAAATGACTCATCAACAGTTAAAAGTAAAAAATTAATTAAAGGTTGAAAATCACAAATGCAAAATAACTAAGTCAAGCCAATGTTATTTCTACAGCCCCAAATCTCAGATTTGTTTCAGAGGTCTTTACAATGTGTCCAGCATACTCCTCTAAAGCCTCAATTCAGAGGAGTAAAATCTCAAATAATTTCCCCAGGGAAATATCTCTCTTCCAGGATGCACAGACATGTACAACACACCCCTCACATTATTGTAAATATTTGATTATATCTTTTCATGTGACAGCACTCAAGAAATGACACTTTGCTACAATGTAATGTAATGAGTTGTATAACAGTGTAAATTTGCTGTCCCCTTAAAATAACACATCACACAGACATTAATGTCTGAACCGCTGACAACAAAAGCGAGTACACCCCTAAGTGAAAATGTCCAAATTGGGCCCAATTACACATTTTCCCTCCCCGGTTTCATGTGACTCGTTAGTGTTACAAGGACTCAACTGTGAATGGGGTTCATCAGGACAGGTTCCACTCAGAACAGGCCTCGCCATGGTCAACCAAAGAAGTTGAGTGCACATGCTCAGTGTCATATCCAGAGGTTGTCTTTGGGAAACAGACATATGAGTTCTGCCAGTATTGGTACAGAGGTTGAGAGGTGGGGGGTCAGCCTGTCAGTGCTCAGAACATACGCCGCACACTGTATCAGATTGGTCTACATGGCTATTGTCCTAGAACGAAGCCTCTTCTAAAGATGATGCGCAAGAAAGCCTGCAAAGAGTTTTCTGAAGACAAGCAGACTAAGGACATGGCTTACCGGAACCATGTCCTCTGTTCTGATGAGACCAAGATAATCTTATTTGGTTCAGATGGTGCCAAGCATGTGGCGGCAACCAGCTGAGGAGTACAAAGACAAGTGTGTCTTGCCTACAGTCAGACATAGTGGTGGGAGTGTCATGGTCTGGGGCTGCATGAGTGCTGCCAGCACTGGGGAGCATTGAGTTCATTCAGTTCATTGAGGGAACCATGAATGCCAACATGTACTGTGACATACTGAAGCTGAGCATCCCCTCCCTTCGGAGACTGGGCCGCAGGGAGTAACTCACCTCCAAGATGACCACTGCCTTGCTAAAGAAGCTGAGGATAAAGGTGATGGACTGGCCAAGCATGTCTCCAGACCTAAACCTTATTCCTCAAAGGTGGGGGAGCACAAGGTCTGTAACATCCACCAGCTCCATGATGTCATCATGGAGGAGTGGAAGAGGATTCCAGTGGCAACCTGTGAACCTCTGGTGATCTCCATGCCCAAGAGAGTTAAGGCAGTGCTGGAAAATAATGGTGGCCACACAAAATATTGACACTTTGGGCCCAATTTGGACATTTTCACTTAGGGATTTTCTCAGTTTTGTTGCCAGCAGTTTAGACATTAATGGCTGTGTGATGTGTCATTTTGAAATGTAATTTCTTCAGTGTTGTCACAAGAAAACATATTATCAAAAATGTACAGAAATATGAGGGGAGTACTCACTTTTGTGAGATACTTTATGTCTTTACAGGGCCATATAGAAATCTAATTCTGAAGAATCAGATTTAATTTCATCAAGTTTTGTATTTTGTTCTTGATCCAGTACTGCTTGCTTTAGCTGCGCACCACTATCATACCTATTTTGTTATCCATCTGGACTTTATTGGCCTTCAACTACTTTTGCAGACTATCTTTTTATGATCTGTGTGTATATTTACAGTTTGCATAAGAAGAAGGAAATTGTAGTGAACGAGTAAAATCTAACTGCTTATGGCCCTGAAAAGGTTTGGTTCAATAACACCTACCTCTGCTGGGAAGAGAAGCTGCTGTTGAAAACTTTGGGTCTAATGCAGAATATGATCTACGTTCTCCTTGCGCTTCGTCTCCAAGTTCATCTCCAGGTTCTTCTCTGGTTTCTACTTCTAGTTCATCTCCAGATTCTGTCCCTGGTTCCACCTTGAGGAAGAGTCGGTCCAGCAGGTGGTCCAGCAGCTGGTAGGCATGATCTAGCTCAGCTCTGATGGTCAGGGTGCGAGTGGGTCTTCCTGCTGAGATCTTCAGCTCTGTGAGGTTTCTGAGGAATCAGAACCCACACAAGTCTGTCACTAAAAGCCACATGAGAACATTCAATCTGCTCATTGGGAAAGTGTGCCTGGGCCAGGGGAAAGAAAGTAAACACAGGAAGAAGGTCCTGTTTTCTGGGTTAAGGTGCATTCAAAAAGTAACTGGTTGCTGCAACTCTGGCGCCATGTGTCACATGTCTAATCCTACCAGCCTGTATATTGCAGGCTGCTGTTATCCAGTATGATCTCATCATGCAGATAAATAGAGCAGGTTGTAGCTTAAAATAGTGGCAATTATTAGCAGAATGACCTTGTTAATAAAGGTAATGAAATAATATAAGCTTTACTAACGAGTATCATAAACATTTTTAATTGTTCCAGACCTGATAATCTGATTTGCTCACAACTCAGATACAGTAAAATAAGCTCCTCTATTGATTCCCTTCCTAACTGTGATTTCTGTGGTTACCACAGTCACATGGTGAGCTGTGGTAGCAAGTTGAAAAGATATTTTGAACTTTTAAGTGTTTTTATGTGTTGTTGGTAGAAGCTGGCAGATATAGTCAACTGCCCAAACATCAAGGCAGAAATGTACTTTGTCGCTAGTCCAGGTCAAACTCCAGCTAGAAGCTAGCAACTGTTGGTTCCCTATCCCAATATTTAAAGCTCATCTGGCTACAGGAGTTGTTCAGCTCAAACTTACAGGGTACGCTTTGTAGTTAGGTTAGGTTGAGGTCAGATCACCACAAACAACACTTCTTCCAAAGAGTCTTTTTTTTTGTCCGCATGCAAGTACAATTGTTGCATTCACATCTGGCCAAACAAGACCTACCAATAGGGAAAGCAAACCAGATTCAACCAAACCAAACACAGGTTTAAAAACACCGTTAATGCACAACATCAAATTTGCCACATTAGCCTTGAGCTGGGAGGAAGTTTAACATAAAGAATTAGAAAAAGACCAGGGTACTCATTCAGAACAGGCAGAACAGGAACGTCACATAAATTAAAAAGCAGATTTGAGCTGCTGATTTCTGTATGAGGTAGCTGTGGGTTCTTACCTGCTTCTGCTGCGTTTGAGGATGCAGCAGAGAACCAGCAGAACTATCAGAACCACCAGCAGAACAACCAAGGACACAAAGAAGAGTTCTGAGGTCGTGCTCTGGGTCGTCATCATGCTGATACCTGAACAACAGAGGGAAGCAATGGGATACTCACTACACACCTGTATTAGGGAAAAAGGTAGATTAACATTGAGGTTGAGAGTTTATTGTTGATATTGGAACCAGCAGAAAATAATCTTACTACAAAGCCCATTTAGGAGCTGTTCTGTAGCATTCGACTGTATCACAGTCTTCTTCAAAAGATGGAGTTTAAACCTCATCTTTTAAGCCATCATGGATAAAAACTCCTTAAAGTGCTCAGGGAAAAAATTTGAACTTCTACAATTCCACAACAACTGAGAAAACTGGTCTGGTGATGAAGATCATGAGATCCGATTGAGAGCTCCAGAACAACGTAACTACATGGACCTTGAGGAGAGGGTGTTATGTCAATAAACTAACAGTGTTTTGATACAAAACATGTCCCCTCTGATCACTAAACAAATGCACTGAAGATGTAAATAATATGCACATATGTGTCAACAATTTTCTCATGCCTGACAGGTCTCTAGCCCTGATCCAGGACCTTGTCATCTCCAAGAACATGATCATATCAGTCAAACGCAGGCTCATAAAATTTGTTACAGGTTAAAAAAATACCAACTCAGGGGTCTCAGTGGACAATTCTCTGAAAACAACATCAGGCAGTTGAAAAAAAAACAATTCTTTTCAACAACAACTAGGCAGATCTTATTCCTACTCTCCAGAGATAGGCTAAGCTTTACAGTTTTAGCTCCGCTATAACCACCACTTTAAGGCTCTAAGAATAGATAATCAAGATGCTGTTTGTTCTTATTGTGGCTTTAATGAATGTTGCAGCCTCTACAGGACACTAGCAGCACTTCACAGTTGTAGTACTCTGTAACACACAAGTCACAGTCCAGCACAACAAACAATCACTGTTAAACATTCTTCTTCACGCATGTAAGTGATTGATTTGTATGTTTAACATACCTGCCTCAGATATTGGGATCCTGTTTAAAGGAAGTACATGGTTTGTTGTTCAGAAATGATCAGAAAGGTTAAAGACTCATCACACATTCTGAGAAGGTTGAAAGAAAACATTCTGTTCTGTTTGAATTTCTTCAACCAATCAAAGTTGCCAAAAGGCTGGATGTAAATGGCACTAATATGATTATCATTTAAACTAAGGAATATATTTATGTGAAGGTAGCGTTGGTGTCATGTCAATGATCAAAATGCTGTTTACTGGTTGTTTACTCTGTCTATTTCCTTGTCTTAGTTGTGACATTATTGTCCCTAGAAGAGCAAAACTATTTGTATTTTTCCCATTCACTTCAATACAGTCGGAGTTGTATCACAGCGGCATCTGGTGGACATTAGAGGAACACTCTCTGCCTGCACCACTCAGCCGCAGATTGGTTGATCAACTCAAAAACGAAACAGGAAGCAGGAGGGTTGTCAGCATGTTTTAATCAGATTAATGCGGATCAGGCAGATTTTTTTTTACAAAATAAAATCCCATAATTCAACAGGAACAATGAACAAGAGAAGAATCTTTAGAAAAATCTTTGTCTCATGTCTTTTTATATAAAAGCACCATCGAACACAGTGGTCATCCTTATATTAATCTGTAGGATCCGTAACATAAAATATCATAAATTAATCCTTGCATTCAAATGCATCCCTATAGAGAATTATTATGCACCTTGTTGATATAAATAAAGTTTTTATTACAGAAAAAGTAAAAAATAACATGAAGGCTGATAAACAAAAGTAGGAGAAAGGTCTAAAAAATGTTGGAAATACAACAATCAAATATGTACATTGTGTTTGTGTGTTCAGATAGTATTATTGGTGGTGTTGTTATTGATCTCCATCCTGCTGATCAGTTCTGTCACCAGCTGCTGCACTGTCTGAGAGCGCAGCCGGCTGACCTCCAGGACGCCCTCATGGTTCACACTGTCCGAGTCCTCATAACTCTTCACTACCTGTCACAGATCAGTCAATCAATCAATCAATCAATTTTCTATCACACTGTTCGAGTCCTTGTGACCCTTCACCACCTGTCATGAATCAATCAATCAATCAGTTAAGCAATAAATAAGCTGATCTATAAGTCTGCCTGGCAGTAAGTCAGTTAATTAATTAAGCATTTTATTTATTTATTAATAAGTTACTGAATCAAACACCTTGACCGCAGAAGGTTCAGTTTTTCAACATTATCAATCAGGTGAAAATCAGCATTTGCGTCCTGCAACTTCATTCTTGGTGACAATCCATCAATACATCGATGTATTGATCTGTGTTTACCTTGTTGGTGATCAGAGAGAGGCCAAAGACTCTCAGACCGCAGTGAGTCGCCACGACGACCTCAGGAGCCGTACTCATACCTGTAAACACACAACACCTGAAGTTGCTGAGACAGGTCACAACGGTACGGACGAAATACTATGAATAATACTACTTTTACTGTCAGTGCTGACGCCACTACTGTGTGTACAATTATGTGAACAGTGACATCAGTCTGTCCACTTTGTGACGCAGATTGTTTTCAAATGTTTTGATCCAATTAAACCTTTATATTTTAATGACAATGTGACCTTTCCTCAAGCTCTCATTAGTTAGTTAAAAAACTGCTTATTATATGTGAGGATTATTATTATTATTATTTTAATTAATCTTTGAGATTTTGGTTGTTTTTTGTCTGCAGTGAGTACTTTTACTTTTAAGACTTTTAGTACATTTTCCTCATTATATTTGTATTTACATTTACTGATTTAAATTTACACATCTACACAAAATATTTTTAATGCAGGACATTTACTTATGTCTTTACGTATCGCAGTTTTTGTACAATGTGGTATTTGTACTTTTACTCAAGTAAAAGCTATGAATACTTCCTCCACCGCTGGGCCCTGTCTTGTAGAGTGCACTGTGAAAGAAATCTGATTTTAAGACTTATTTCATACTGCTCTCAAAATGTGCATTTTTCTAGTTATGTTTAGTCAGTTTGCCACTCGAAATTGACACCTTGAAAACACAGTTCTATGCGCTGATTATTACATACATGCACAGAGGAATGTTTGATGCCAACATTATTATAATTCAGAGAAGACTTCCTGGCCCTCAGAGGATGAACCCATTCGATTTTAATGACCAGTAAGTCTCAAAATCATCAGGATATTGTTTAATCATAATGTATGAACGTTCATGTTTCTGTGATTGTTTATGTGTGTTTATGTGTGTGTGTGTCTTACCGACAGCGTCCACCCCCAGTCGATGCAACAGTCTGGCCTCAGCGATGCTTTCAAAGTTTGGCCCACCCACCATGGCATACACACCCTCCTGCATGAGGCCGGCCACGCCCAGCTCCTTCGCGATTTCCATTGTTAGGCAACGCAAACCTTTGTCATAGCATCCTGACATGGCTGGGAAACGTGGCCCAAACCTGTAATCAACAAATAATAAACAACATGATCAACAACTGAAGCAAAGCCCTCAATGTCAACAAAGCAACAGACTTCAATACTTTGTTACTATGACAATTGAGTTAACACAAGCAACACAATCAACACACAAAATGATCACAATAAACAAAAACAGTGTAACAAAAATTAAACAAGACTATTAATTAATTTAAAGACAAACAACAAAAAGATTAACAAATAAACAAGACAAAGAGCTTCATCATAAACAACAATAACACAATCAACAGATAACCAAGTATATATCAGTGTTACTTGTCATTGTTGGGTCCGCACAACGGGTTCAGACCGACCAATCCGGGGAAGTTGACGTGGTCTTTGATGATCATGATGTCACCAGGTTGGAGGAAGTCGGCCAACGAGCCGGCAGCGTTTGTCACGATCAGAGTCTCCACCCCCAACAGCTTGAAGACTCGAACTGGAAATGTTGTCTGATGAACAGGCAGACAGGTCTCTTGTCATGACCTTGGTAATTTTGTGTCTCTCAAATATGAGAATTTTCCTGTTATTGTTTGTTGTTATAGAGACAGTTATTTTCACGTGACGCAGGATGTCCGACATGCTTGCTCTCTAAGTTGAAACTTTCAGAGTCTCCTGATAAATACATAATCTACCTCGCCCTCAAGACAGTCAGACATCCTCAGCAGAACTCGCACAAGAGAGAGTGAGAGAGTGAGTGTGTGTGTGGGTGTGTGGGCAGGTATTGTGTGTGTAAAATAGTGGGAAACAATAGAAGCTTTCAACAACCTACTAAAAGGCTGCATGTGACCAAACTCATGCATGACCTTGTCGGTTCACAATTACAGACGCGCACGTGGGAGAAATTTTTCTTCAGGCTTTTCTGGGAGAAGGGCTTTCTGCCTTTTTTTTTTCCAAAAGCTAACCACCTATTTTTGGTGCTTAAACCTAACTAAACCCTCTTCTGCTTTCTGGCAGAAGCAGGCAAAATGTATCCCCTGTGCCAGACACGCACGTACGCACGCATGTACACATACGCACATAGATCATGTCACAGGTTCAGGCTGCTCATATTTGTGTTACACCAAGGTTGCGTGACTGAGGTGCTTTAATCAGCTCACAGAAAGTGTGCGTACGTGTGTGTGGAATTATTTGTGTTTATTGTCTATTGTTCTGTCAACACAGTGAACGGAATGAAAATCTAGAAATTATATCGACTGATTTTGTACTGCACTTCCATAAAGTTGGGGGACTCATAGGAGACTGATTTAAAAAGAATCATTCAAATTGAAGCAGCGGAGGCCAAGATATCCTGACTTTTAGTTCCCAGAATGTGGCAAGCTCTCAAAAAACACTGGATCCTAAATTTTTAATTATACATAATTTACTTTAATTTTCCTCTCTTTATATTTACTTGTTTTTGTCCTTGTGGCACTACAACATTTGAATTTTTCCCGTTCCATTTTGCAACTCAATCTTTCATTAGACCCTCCTAGCATCCAAAACAACCCAGTATAAAACTACCACCAGCAGCGAGCTTCAAATGTGCTGGTGGGTGGACATAGACAGTCTCCCCTGTTTCCAGTCTTTGGCTAGCTGTCGGTGGTTGTCTTATTTAGCATATGAGAGTGATATCAATCTTCATATCTAACTGTCAGCAAAAAGCGGAATAAGTCTATTTCCAAATATGTCAAACTACTAATGTCAAACTATTCCTTTAAGGTTAGTGATACAATGTGTGTGTATGTGTGTGTGTGTACCTTGCAGAGTGAGTGCCCTTCATACATGTGGAAGCGACCCTGCATGCACACACATGTCTTCCCCTTCAGCTCCCCAAAAACCAGCTGACCTGCATGACCTTGCACTGTAACACACACACACACACACACACACAGAGTCAGGAGTACGGTGAGAGATAGTTAAAGTGCTGGTATTTAACCCGCAGTTAACATGTAAATCTACATGTAAACCAGACCTGTGCTTCCAGTCTTTGTGCTAAGCTAAGCTAAGCTAAACACATCCTGACAGTTACTATTCATGCAAGTTTCATATCTTCAAATATGAGACTTAATTTAAGTTAATTTAAATCCAAATGTAAAATATATGAATATGTGGTGAACAGATCTATACTGTCAGCTTTGAATTAGAATCATGTTGATGGTTGTCAGTACCTGTGCTCTGTGAGAAGCCGGGTATGTCAGAGTAAGCGAAGGAGTCCTGACACTTAAGGGTATCAGCGAGCATGCCCAGTCCTGATCCGCAGATGATCGCCACCTGGGGGCGGTGCTTTGTCCGAGACATCAACCAATCAGCTGCTTTCTGGTATTCCTCATGACTGCAGACAGGAAGAAGAGAAGTTATTATTATTTTTAATTATTTTAGGAGGAATTTATTATCAAGTGTGAATTCACTTTGCCTCCAGACCAGTGCATCGTCATCTTCATCATCATCATCATACAACGTACAATCACAGGAGATACTTGTGTTTTTCAAGGTAGATCGAGAGTGTGTACTGTGAAGTGGAGAAAAGTATTTCTGCTCTTTTCTAACAATGGTGCTTGTAAATTGGTGGAGCATCACGCTGCTGCCAGTGTTGCTGTTTTCTCTCTGTTCAAGTCTAATTATCCTCAGGTTTATTCAGGTTAATATTATGTGTTTGGATTTCAGCTGGTAAAAAGATTGTTTACGTTTCCAAAGAAAGTGGCTGAGGTCTAATTTATTCATTTAAATCCGTATCCTCCTCCTTCACTGGATCACACTGGATCCTAAATTTTTTATATAGCAATTCAGTCTTTAATTAAAATCTCGCTGCCTCCAAAACACCTCATTATGGAGCTACATCACATCAGTCAGCTAACCTACCTTAGCATAAAGAACAGCTAACATGGCTCAGTCCACAGGGTAACAAACCCCACCTACCAGCACCTATAAGCTCTAAAAAATGATATCTTGCAAAAATGAAAAAACCTAAATTAATCATTTAACAGGGGTTATGTGCTGGACTATTTCTTGGCTGGGACCAGTAACTTCCTGAAGTCCCCACTGGTTGCCTGGCAGAGTCTTGGTAGTGAAGGGTACGAGCTATTTTTAGGCACCCCTGCTTCCCAAAGTAAAAGTCCCATTCATTTTTCTCAAAAACAGTGTTACATGACTCAATAATGCAATTTGGATCAGCATAAAAACTCTCCTGCTTCATGCAAATTTTGTTAACAACTGCAACGACAAAGCGTTGGATTATTACCTGATTAATACACTGAAATTACACCGTAAATCACAGCCTGTTAAATGAAGTACTTCTTCTAATTACTGAACAAATGTACCTTTTCAGGCTTCTGAAAATTATTCAAAGAAAATAAAGAAAAAGAGCGCTTTTTACTTGAACTGGTCACAAAAGAAATGTCAAACATTTTAGTAAACACTGGTTTATTATGTTGACAGACAGATTTTTCCATATTTTCCATAAAACAACAGCACAACAACAAATCATAAAAAAGACACAATACAACAAAGGTGTTTCTTACCTGATTTGTTCTTTGCTGTGCATGATTGACGGATGACAGAAGACTGATGGTGATGATGAAAATAAAGCAGACTGATGTGTGTGTGCTTCTGTAAGCAGCCTCTATCACTTACTGTGTGTGTGATGGAGGGACAGTCAAGAGTGTTGCAGGCTGAGGCCGATCGGCCTACATATCTACCAGTCATATGCTCCTGATTGGTCAACAAACCCTCCATTCATCAGCAGCAGCCAATGAGGCTACAGTGTTGTGGAAATGTGTGTGAGAGTTTGTGTGTGTGGATTCCTATCTAAACAGGATTCAGGGATTTTTTTGGGAGGGCGTCTGTAAGAGACGTCTCATTTTGCGTCATGCCTCCGCTAAAAGTAACGTGATTATACTTCATTTTTGTTAACTCACTTTAACTCTGAACCCCGTTCATTCACTCACTCAGGCACTCAGGCAACAGTAACAACTAAGTTAGCATCAAGCGAACAAATACATCATTAGGTTTCCCCCACAGAAGAAGGTCTTCTTTTTTTTTGACATTAGGGCTGCAACATTTGTAGGAATGTTTTAATTATTAAAGCCCTGGACCACTTGGGACCACTGAATCACTTCAACCCACATTTTTAGAAATACTGGGAAACACTCTAATTTGCTCTTTTACAGAGAGTAATGGGCCTTTCAGACAGACTGCGACGATCGCACTGCTGCACTGTGAAACCCATTATATTCAATGGCTTGAGCCGCACCACGGCAGTTTGTTGCTGCGTCAATTGGTTAAACTTTTGCGCTGAACCCTGCAACCAGCGCAGCACGAATCGCTTCCTATCTGAAAGGGCCATTAGAGGAACGATACCACTCTCACATGGTAAATATGAAGCTACAGCCAGCAGCTGCTTAGCTTAGCTTAACATAAAGAGTGGAAACAGAGGGACACAGCGAGCCTAGCTGTCATATATTCATCTCAGGTGTCACATAGTAGCGCGTCGCTATTCAGTAGAGATGAGAACGGGTTACATATTCTAACAAAATCCACGTAACAGCACCTCTATAGCTCACTAATTAATTCGTTATATCTCATTTGTTTATTTTTGGGTGTTTTGTGTTCTGGCAACTACCCTGAGTCTTGTTGGGTTGAAAAAATTAATTGTGAATAATCAGTACACTAATCAACAATTATCCAAGTATCTACTGTATCTATAGTAGCCTATTCAGTTAGCAAATTAGCAATTCAAAGCTTAATAATCACTTTCGTGATCAATTAATGTGCAGCACATTTACATGTAATTTTATTCTTCCATACATAAATAAAAACATTTCTAAATCTGTTAAGTTAAATTTGTCTACCTGAACTCCAGACTTAGCGCTGTATTCAACCAATCTGAGCTTTGATGTGGCAGTCTAACGAGAAGCAGCGCGTCAGACGGTTCTTTTCTAATTGAAACTTCAAATTGAGTCTCATGACCACTTACACACCTCACATGTTCGCCTGCTGCTGTTCTGATCAGCTGCTGCTAATAAGGCTCATGTGGGTCTAATGGAGGAGGGCCAGAGCAGGACTGGAACCAGAGCTGAACTTTAACTAGAGGGACCATGTACATTGACAAGAAGTGTGTAAACGACCTTTATTTTTGCCCAGCATATTTCAAGAACTGTTTTTTTTGTATGCCTATTCATATCATAAGTGTTCTTCTACAGTCAGTTCATTATTTTAGATTATAAGGTTGAGGGCTTTTATTTTGAAGGCAGTATGGTAGATTGTCAAGTGTTTCTGCAGGTACAAGTTTATCTGAAAGGAAATAAGAATTCTAAATTACTATTTTGTTTGTTTAGCACAAAGCTGATAAGGGCACATGGTTTGTTATAATTTTGTTTTATGTGGTGTTTAATGTTAAGTCACATTGCGGTATCTTTCCATAATTTTGCAGAATTTTATGCTAGTGTGTTTAAGCTAGCAAGACTACTATATTAACTAATTTAACTAATTAAATGAAGGCAATAGGTCTTAAAGGGCAGTTATTCCGGTAGAGTTTGCTTGGTAGTACAGTATAAAGAAATGCAGCATTTGTGTTTTTTGCAGTAACTGCAACAAGGTTCAACAAGGTTAAATAAAGTTAAAGCTGCATATATGACATAAAATACTGCTATTAGATATTTAATTCTTAAGTTAAATATGCTTACTCATGGCACTCTTATCATGAATTGTTATTATGAATAAAGCACATTGTAAACTATTGTAAACTAGCTACAGTAAGAGCTTCACCTCATCAGTCCCAGCACACTCCTGTCCAAGGAAGACTAGAGAGGGACTTAATGTCAGGGCTGGACTGGGACAAAAAATTGGCCCTGGCATTTTTGGCCCAGACGGCCCACAAAAATTGGTCGGACATCCCTCACCAATAGGCTACACCATCTTTCCATATATAACATGTGTACCTACTGTAATATTCCCCCAAGCCAGCTGAGTGGTATGTGCCGTGGATTAGCGTACCAGTGCAAGTGAATCAGTGTACTCATTCACACTCATTTACTGAGTCCCTGGTGATCAGACGTGACTATGAAGTACACAACCCATACTCAAGTACAAGTGGCCTACATTTTCACAGCAGTGTGGGATTAGCCAACGTGACAATATAACCTCACCTCTGCCATTAGGACATTTAGCCGAAGTTAAGACTGTATTAGGAAACTATACTAGCTCCAAAAACAATGTAAAATAGCTTATCCAGTGCTGTATGAAAGTGAGTGATCACCAGCAGTAGGTGACTTTATGATAGCGTAATAATTATGTTAAAATCACTGACCTTAATTGAAGTAACCATCATAATTGTCACTAAGGCATGGCAGACAACGCAGAGATTTCTTCTATATTTACACTGCATTGCAGGCTTACTGTGCAAATAAACCTTTCTCATAGCATTTTTATTTGCTAATTAACATTTCTTGGTGCAAAATATTGTACAGAAAACATTTAACGCTTTCAAAAAGTGGTGGCTACATGTCCCCAGCGTAAATGACCCTAACTCCCTGGTCCCTCCCTACAGGTTGAACAACTCCATGCTTAACGCTTCACCTCCACTCTCCTCCTGCTCTCTCTGCCCCTCAGCGCTGTCACAATGATTATGTACATCAGCTTCACTGTCACATGCCTTGTCCTCTGCCGCGGCAGTGGCCATGGTTTTTCCTTTACTGCTTCAGGTGTCTGTGGCTGCACTACGTCGGGTACTGCAGCTGATTTTGAAACTACTGCAGCCCCGGTAGCAAACATATCAGATATTTTTTTATGCATTTGGCGGCAGCCGTCTGAAGATTTTAAAAGCTAGAAACATAGAGCAGACGGGGAGGGAGTTGGGGCTTGTAAGAGATGTGATTGGGCCAGCCCAATGTCAGTATAGAAAATTTCCCATGGGCTGCTGTCTGTGCTTTAGGCTAAGGGCTGAACATTGGCCGTTTAAAAAAAACTGGTTATATAAATAAATAACTACCGTTACATCGGCCCCAAATGTTCGTCGGCCCACCTGGCATTTGCCCGATATGCCAGATTACCAATCCACCGCTGCTTGATGTGATGGTCTAAGGTTGTGGCACTCACACACAGCTACCTCTATACAATAGTGGCTCAGACCAGAAATTGGATGCTTGTAAGGTCAGCGAAGAGGAGCAACTTTGCTGCTCTGGTCGGAATCCCACAGAATAGATGCTTGCATTTCAGAGAGGAGGCTCACAAAAAGGAGAAAAGGCTCATTCACTTTTATGAACAATGGAAGACCCAGGTATGAAAGCAAGAGCACAGCTTAAGTTAGAAAATCCTTAGAGCCACATTGCAGCTCTTATAGACACACTAGAGAAAGGAAAAGACAATGTTACTAACATTTTTGTGGAAATCAGAGATCACCTGACCCCTTTAAGTGAGACAAGACATTGTCTTGATGCTTGTGAGGCAGTGACAAAGGACATTGTTAAGATTGCTTATGAAAGACTTAAGGCAGAAAGGAATATAGGAGCAGCACAAGCTACACTTGGAACTTATAACCATTAAAAAAAAGAGACACTCTGCTATTGTAGAGATTGTGTTGTGTAGGATAGTAAAACACACACACGGGTGGTGCTTGGCTTCAACTTCACATTTATTTGGTAACACAGGATAAAGGTTAGTTCTCCATCACAGCCAGTGTTATAATTCCAAGCCAGCGTCACAGAGACAGCACATGTTGACTGTTAAAAGTTTTGGGCAGCAAAGGGCGCCCATACTACACACACACACACACACACACACACGTCTCCATGGCAACAATACCCATTACACACCGAAAAATAAACAAAATAAACATGATGAGCATACACAGCACCATCACTTACAGGTGTTCAACTGCAACAGAGGGAAAAAAAAAACAAACAAATCTGACCACAAAACACAAGGTAAATACATTCATTCATGCACAAGACGAAAACCCAACATAAACTTTAACGAAAAGCAATAACAACTCACTAGAACCCATCCGTCACAACACGGCCCACCATCAAGGTTTGTGGCACCGGCTGTGACGGACTCGGCTTCACAATAACTGTGCTGCCAGCAGAGAGACACTTGTGGTCAGGTAGGTAGCACCCAAAGCAGGTGTCCAGAGACACAGCATGCTCCATTTTTACGGTACCTAGGCCAACATTTGCAGCAAGTTCTCCTCTGAAGTCTGACCTGCAAGTGACATTTTCTACCCTCAGAATGCTTCAGTACTTGAACGAGATGCTTGATGACATTGCTGCCAAGAATGAGGTCGTCAGTTTGATCTTCCTTGATGAGCGCAGGGACAGAGATGTGACAATCCAGCACATTCATCTGAAGTTCACTCACTCCCACAGGGTTTGTCCTCAAATCTTCACATCCAAATCAGAACAACTGATGTATGTGGGATGTAACTGAAATATGTCTCCTTTTTTAAAACTCTACACACAATTCCCAAAACTGCACCCACAAAATGCAAAATACCTCATATTTTCTTCAAAATGAAACACTGCATTCAAAATGCCACATCTCAAAATGAAGCATTTGCATTATCTGGCAAACACCTTTTTCAAAATAGCAAATGTGGATATACCGTGCACACACTGTTGCTCTTAATCTTAG